AATATCAGACCAAAAGAATTACCTTGACAAACACCAAGAATTACTCCTAAAACAATCCAACCGCCTAAAAGGTAGGGTGTGGCACCTGTCACGGCATTCCTACAACCCCTACAGGGTAGGCCGCACACTTTGGAAGACTCTTGCCGTGCCTGCAATAACCTACGCAGGTGACACATTGGCGTACTCTACCCAAACAGTGCGATGTTTGGACCGCCACCAAAATGAACTGGGGCGCTGGCTACTGGGAGGCAGCTTTGCAACAGCAAACGCAGCAGTAACAGGGGAGTTGGCCTGGTCAACTTTCGAAGCACGCGAAGCAAGGTCAAAAATACAATATGCGGGCCGGCTAAAGTTTCTACCAGAAACAAATTACAGCCAGCGCATATACCTACACCTTCGATACAGGGGCATAAAAACACAGTGGATGAAACGACTGGCTTCTCTGGAAAATAAATTCGGCCATAACACAAAACTGGAAGAAGCAAAATCGGAACGAGAATGGCGTATAATAACAAAAAACACTATAACCGAAGCCAGCACAGAGATGTGGCGCACGTCGGCGGCAAAGAAAAGGAGCCTACAGTTATACCTCGAATACAAGCAGGCTCCAGACCGTGAGCCATTTTACAGGGGCGACCGGGAAAGCGCCCTCCTGTTCCAAGCCAGGACGGGGTCACTGCCCACGCGGAAGCGGCATTGGGAACTGTTCGACACGGACCCGTCGTGCCGCCTATGCGGGGCCACGGAAGAAACCATCCAACATATCCTGATGGATTGCCCGCGACTCGGAGCGAGGGACCTACCCAAGATAAACCTGGCGGAATATCTGGGTCTCCCAGATGATCCCGTCGACACCCGAGTCGAACACACCGAGAGTGCCAAGCGACGTCTAAAACTCTGGGACAGACTGTGCTGGCAGGTGGACAAACACCCCGACAGTGTCCAGCGCAACGAAGGGCCGACAGAAAATATCTAAACGACGCCGACGCCACTGGATAGACTTGGCCGAGGGCACGTTTCCCCTGGTGGCGAAACTGGCAATTTACTACCAGACCTTTCTTTCTTCGAACAGTAAAGTGGAAAACGTGTGAGTGCGTGTTCGCGTGAAGTGCGTGTAAAACACAAAATGTTTTTTTTTTTTTTTTTTTTTTGAGGTGGCGCGGCAAGCGCCTGACTGGTGATGTGTGTGTGCGTGTGTATGGATGTGCGTTGAAGCGCACAACTTTGTCCTGTGGCGCTGCTGGCGCCTGCCCTGTGCCAAAAGGGATTAGGAGCACCTACTTACTTACTTAGCCTGACGATAGCGTCGCCATCTGTGAAGTTTAAAAGAATCAATTTGTTTTTTTCGCTTAGCGCGGTTCAGAGCTTAAACTCTGCATCGCTTGATTAAAGTAGCTTGATATGTATAAATTTTAGCAATCAAAATTATGAAAATGTATAGCAGTTGTTTTATTTATCTTACATTCACTTTTTATTGTAAATATTAGCACCCGCAATAAGAGCACACGATGAGTGAGGAGCCAGCAGACGACACTTGTAACATCTCGGCAATGTTGTGCCGTGTTTCTTTATGGTTTTGTGATCCCTGCTGACCCAGCACCACGTAATCAAAAGCACCCCTTTCCAAACCGGCGAATGACTTGTGATAGACTATTCACTAAGTGGGTCCGCATGTATAGATGAACTTTATCGTTCAGCTATGGTAGAGGCTTGCCTTGAAAGTCGGGGTCAGGGACGAAGCCTTCTACCGCCTTTCGGCGATCAGCTTTTGAGTTCCTTTGTCTTCTCGCTGGCTAATAACGAAGGCGGGGGCACGGCAGTGCCTCGCTCGACCAACATCCTTTTAGCTGGCACGCTGCTGCCTATATCGTATGGACGAAGTCGCATATCCTTCGGATTTTGCAACCATGGACGTCTGAGGGTAGTGTAGGAGGAGAGATGAGGCAAGGATAAAGGGCGACTGCTACTCCTCGAAATTTCGGATCGAAGGATATTTTTCTATGCAGCAAGCTGGTAACTGCATGCAATTCCACACGTACGGTACACAGAAAGAGACACAATTATGTGCGGTAGCGACAACAGTTTTTTTTTAACAAAACGCGGCCCAAAAGTATATGAAGAAAACACACGCGCTACGCGCCGGAAAATGAATCATTCGCTACCTGGTCGTACTTTCGGATTTTTTTTTTTTTCACCACCTTCCACGACCTTCGGTACTGAGGTATCTCCTTTTAAATACGCCCAAATCTTGCAGCTGCATCCGAGCGCGCGACACTTAAAGTTCTTCAAAACATAATTCACCCACGTTAGCGGTATAAGCATGTGCGTCTCATGCTACCTTCTGCTATTGAGCAAAGATAGCGCCTTCGTTACCTTACTTACGATACCGTAGTGCCTGTAAATTTCCTAGGTAAGTCGCCTTGTGAGGTAAAACTTGAGGCACTCGAAAACGACGTGTGTATTTGCTGCTTCGTTATGTTACCTCGCTATCGTTCCTTTGAATTGACACAGATTTTAAAACATTTATAGTAATTAATAATAATAGAACCACAATATGATTATGAGAGACGCCGTAGTGGAGAACTCAATATCCGGAAGTTTCGACCACCTGGGGTTATTTAACGTCCACCTAAATCTAAGCACACGGCCTCAATGATTATCGTCTCTATCGAAAATGCGACCCCATTTGTTTTAATCTTAGAGATATTTTCAATTTCCGATCGCGTTATGTGACTGTTTTACTCAAAATCTGCAAACGTCGGCAGCGCAAATTTGAATTACGCGCGCTGGCCGCTACCGTTCGATGGTAGCGTCTTGCTAGTGGCGTCATCGCAAAAGCGACCACCACTGTATTATTGAAGTCGGCACATGAATGAAGCACATGAATGAAGTCGGCACACTGCTTCATTCCAGTACACCATATGTTGGCGTCTTCACTGAAGCGACTACCACCAGTGGTCCGCACTGTCCCATTGGCTTGCTGCACGGAGGAAGGAAAAAGTGGCTTGCTGTGAAGACGGCTTACTGCCCCGTTCCAGTTCGCCATACTAAAACAAAAGAGACCAGCTAAAGCTCGAAATACATGCCATTGACGCGGTTTTTAAACAGTAGTTGTTGACCCGTGGCATACCCTGGCCAATAGAGTTTATAAAATAATTCTATGCCCTGGGATGCATGGATGGATGTGGCTGTACCCTTTAGATAGGGCGGTGGCTACCGCCACCTAGCCGTAATACTTAGTGAACCAAAAACTAGATTTATTTATTTATTCCCTTCAAATAGTCAGGTTGAGGACTCGTACCTTGCAGTGAAGGGTTTAATTTTCACTCGTGCCTGGACTTTAGCCACCAATCAGATAACGTCCTTCTAGTTAAGTCTACCCGCTTAAAGTCTATTTTGCCCTTCCTGTCCCTAAACCCCAGTGCTTTGAAAAGCTCTGCTGCCATCATCCTGAACTATAGGGTGAAGCCCTTTACAGAACATTATCAAGTGTTCGGCAGTTTCTTCTTCCTCTCCACACGCACTGCATACTGTGTCTACCCTTTCGTATTCGGCCCGATATGTCTTGGTTCGCAATACTCCCGTCCTGGCCTCAAACAGTAGAGTAACTACCCCGAGTGTTATCATAGATCCTTTCATTGGCAATTCCCTGCTTAAAAGTTCGATAGATCTCTAGTGCGGACTTCTTAATCATGCCGATTCTCCACATGTCAGTCTCCGTTTCCTTCACTTTCTTCTTAACCGATAGTTCTTTTTGGTTTGGTCACCTGCTGTTTTCTAAGTATTTACCAGTCAATTTCCTGGTTCGCTTCCTCCATTTTGTATCGACATTCTTCATGTACAAGTAGCTGAAAACCTTCATAGCCCAACGCTCCTCCCCCATTTCTCTCAATCGCTTCTCAAATTTTATCTTGCTGCTAGCTTCCCTGCCCTCAAATGATGTTCATCCCATATCACCTTGTACTCCCTGATTTGGTGTATTCCCGTAAGCTCCTAAGGCAAGCCTACCTAGTCCACGTTGCTTAATTTCTAATCTTGCTTGAACTTCTGATCTCATGCACAAGACCGCATTGCCGAACGTCGGCCCAGGAACCATGACCCCTTTCCATATACCTCTCACAACATCATACCTATTGTAATTCCACACTGCCCTATTTTTCATCATTGCTGCATTCCTGTTACATTTAGTCGTCATGTATATTTCGTGTTCCCTTAGGTACTCGGTCCCATTGCTTATCCATATGCCCATATATTTGTATTTATCTGTTATCTCTAGCGTGACCTCCTGTATTCTAAGCTCACTACCTTCGTTATCATTGAAAATCATGACTGCTGATTTTTCCTTGCTGAATCTAAAATCTAACCCATCTCCCTCATTACCGCAGATGTCCATCAATCTCTGCAAATCTTCCTTGTTGTCGGCCATTAGCATTATATCATCAGTGTACTACACGGAGGAAGGGTGTACTATAATGCTGCTAGTGCCTGATCAATGAGTTTTCCTCTTTTGACTAAAGAGAGGTCGAAGCCAAGTCCACTTCCCTCTAATTTGGCCTTTAATCCTTGTAGGTACATCATGAATAACAAGGGTGACAGTGGACACCCTTGCCTAAGTCCCCGTTTCACCTCTGTGGGCTTGGATACCTGTTTTGCCCACTTCATAACAACCTTGTTACTTTTATAGATTTCCTTTAAAAGTTTAGTGACTCCACCTTCCATACCCAGTGTGTCTAGTATTCCCCACAAGTCCTCTTGAACCACGCTATCCACGGAGTGACGCTATCGTACCCTGGCCCCGTGCTCTGGCCCTTGTTTTTGCAGCGCCACCTACTAGTAAATACACAAACCAAAACAAGTTGTTTTCGTGCTTGATTGTTGCTTTAAGCTATGATTACTGCAAAAAAAAAAACTTAAATTTGTATAATGTGTTAAAATAATAGTTATTTTCGATGTAAGAACTTAATACGACACTGAGGTTGATGCACAATTCGCCGGCTAATTGCTCTCGCCCTTCCATGTTTAATCGCTATCGATACTCGTGTGTTTTATTTTCTCTGCACCCGCTTCTGCGAGGTCCATAGCTGGGTGCCTTCGTGAGTTCTCAGGGCTGGGATGTTGTGAGAAATTCGGCGCAGTTGGCTAGACATCATCTGCAGCAGTTTAGTACACCCCAGACGGCCGCATGTTATCACATCCGAGCGAGGATCGGGGTGGAGCTCGCAACGGGGAGGCCATGGAGAACACCACCAGCCGAGAGTCGTGCGAGGGCGAGCAACCGCCGAGTACCAACGGGGAAGTGGCCAAAGAGGAAGTCGGCGACGAGCTCCTAAACAGGTGGGCTTGTGCCGGGCACGCACTCGGTTTCCACAGAGCATCAAATCGCCAGCGGCGAGTACTCAGCGGCGCTGTGTCTTCGCAGATTGACCATTTCTTGGCAGCGTGGTCGTGTGCCCACCCTAGCCTCTTGTAGACCGTGTAGTACATCTCCGTTGAGCAGTATGGTATGATATACCTTCTAATGTGCGGAAAACTTTTAAGCTCGATACTATTGTCAGAGGTCGCAACTTGGCTAGAACGGCACGTGACACTTTGCTCAAAACGCCTTGCAAGCAATTGCATTTTCGTCTCGCGTATTTATGTTGCATCCTGCGTTTAACCGCGTCATTGTAATACCGATTGTTTCGCCTGTGGCTCATTGGCGGGCGGGCATCACTACTACGTAAAAATATCTTTCGTGGGATGTCCCGTTGCTCGGGGCTGCCTTCCTTGTTATGTGTAGCCGCACAAAGCGTTGGTTTTATGTTCTGAGATGTGTCTGATAAATATTGTTACACTTCCATTCTGGTGCTTTGCTCTAGCACGTAGCTAGTGGGCTTATTATTCCATCTCTTGTGCCCAAATGGTTTTGTAGAAGAGCTGGGCTGTTTGTTACCAAGTTGACCAGCGAAAGCTCGGTCAGTGTCACATGACTGACTGTAATATTTGCATCAGATGGTGTAGCTGGCAGTGGAGCACTGTCGTTATCGTGTGAGCGGTATTATCAAGCCACTATCGGAACTTGGTGCCTGGAACTTGGTCAACACTACGGAAGGTCAACTCTTGGTGCTGCTAGAAAGCCACAAGTTTTCTAATGGTTTTATGCTTGTCTACTTGTGAAGAATCGCCTGTCGAAAAGAGCCCCGCTCAAAAATACTTAGTCTCTCCTCGTCCAACTACAGATCATGTTGTGGAGCACCTGTTTCAGCAGTAGTATATAGGCTGCCACTAAGTACCTACTGTGTAAGATACTGTAAGCGAAATCTTCACCTATCAATTCCCCACTGCTTGTAAAAGATTTTGCTTCCCTACCGAACCACGTGTTTACCCGTTTGGAAAATTGTGACCATGCTCAATGTTTTGGGCGGCCAACACTTAATTTCGTTTGTGTGTAAGAGTTTTATTTATTTAAATACCTTAAGAGCCCAGAGGGCATTACATAAGGGGGGATACATACAAGAGGTTACTATAGCATCAGTAAAACAACATGTCAGGGAGTAATACTAGTAATCAGACTGACCGATAGCCCAAGCAACATTACTAATAACACAATAAGCAAAAAACACAGTAAGCAGCTCACCATAACAGGAAACATATTTCAAGAAATAGCAATAAACATTCTCTAAGCATGCATTACACATTAAATGTCAATGGTGGTTACAAATTATTGTCAACTTCTAAGTAAGTTAGTACTGCAGACTGGAAAAGGGAGGGTTCTGTAATAGCGACAATGTTTGAGGGCAGCGCGTTCCACTCGTTAATGGATAACAGCAGAGGTGAAAATTGGTATTTCTTAGTGCGTGAATATATTGGATTGACCTTATGTGCATGACCAACGCGATCAGAAACGTAGGGAGCCGGGTGAATGAATGATCGGGAAAATGACGAGTCACTATGATATAAGCTATGGAAAAAACATAGGCGGGACAACTTTCTGCGCGTGGCAAGCAATGGAAGGTTCAGAGAACGCTTAAGACATGTTACGCTTTGGTGGCGAGAATGACAGGAGGTGATAAACCGAGCTGCTTTATTTTGTACCGATTCTAGCATATCAGATAACATTGCCGTGTGTGGATGCCAGATGGTTGACGCATACTCCAGTGAAGGCCTGATCAGAGCTTGATATGCGTGAAGTTTAGTTTTCAAGTTTGCGCATCTGAGGCGGCGTTTCAAAAGACCGAGTTTTTTTGATGATTTGCTGGTGATGTATTCAATGTGACTGTTCCAGGTTAGGTCGGAACTAAAGAAAATGCCGAGGTATTTTGTGGATGAAACGGTCTCAATTACAGTGCTATTGACTATGTATGTGACGGATGATGAGGGGTTGGCTACGGAAGTAAATCTAATATGTTTGGTTTTTTCAGCGTTGATGTGCATCTGCCACAAGTTGCACCACTCTGTGAGTTTTAACAAATCTGACTGTAGGATGCTACTGTCATTCGGTTCGGTAATCTCCTTATATATAACGCAATGATCTGCGAATAGGCGTAGAGAAGAAACAATATTAGATCCAATGTCATTGATGTAGACCAAAAATAATAATGGTCCGAGCACGGAGCCCTGGGGGACACCGGATTTTACCATGCACTTTCTGGAAATTATGTGGTTAAGTTTGACCGATTGCGACCAGTTACAGAGGAACTCTTGAATCCATTGGATTGTTTTTTGATCAAGCTGGAGGTTACGGACTTTAGTTATTAATCGGTTATGTTGGACGTAATCAAAAGCCTTTGAAAGGTCTATAAAAATAGCATCTGTAGGAGCAGAGCTGTGCATGGATTTGTGCAAGTCTGTCAACAATTCAAATAGTTGGGTGTTGCAAGAGCGTTTTTCCCGAAAGCCGTGTTGGTTTGGGGTGAGGATGTTGTTTCTGTTCAAGTGAGATATAATTTTCGAGTAAATGATATGTTCTAATAGCTTGCAAGATATACAGGTTAGAGAGATTGGACGATAGTTGTTCGGACTTGACTTTTGGCCGGATTTGTATATGGGTTTAACAAAGGCATATTTCCAGTCTTCCGGTACACAGCCCGTGTCAAGCGACTGCTGAAAGATCAGCGACAATAAATACGCTGATCTGTGGCAGGTTAATTTTAGGACTTTGGCACTGATTCCGTCGGGCCCCAGGCTAGTCTTGCGAGGAAGGCGTTGTACAGCTTGTGCGACACCATTTTCAGTTATTGTAATTGAAGAAAAAGGGTCGTGAATGGTAGGTTCTAACAGTGCTAGTGAGTCTAGTGGAAGTTCTTCCGTGAACACAGATGCGAAAAATTCGTTGAATCATTCAGCACTTTCCTCTGGCGACAACGCTTTGCCTTGATCACTCGGTAGAGTTGGCTCAGAAGGGTAGGCTGTAGGGTTCACCATGCGCCAGAATTTCTGGGGGTCAGTTTTCAAAAGGTTAGGTAAGGTGCAGTTAAAATATTTTTCTTTGGCCTCTTTTATTGAGGCCTCAGCTTGTTTTGAAAGATTTTTATAATTAAGCCAATCTTCCGGAGTATTAGTTCGTGTAGCCCTTTTAAAAGCTCGTTTCTTCCTATTTAGGCATCTTTTTACATCGCGTGTGAACCACGGGTCATTTGTTTTGGTGCTGATTGTTAGTTTCGGGACGCAGCATTCTTCTATTTTTTTTAGTGTGTCACGGAATTGAAGCCAATTTTCGTTTGCAGCGCGATGTTCAAAACTTGACTCAAATATTGGTATAAAATCATCTAACATACGGTTCATCTTATCGATGTCATAACGTGCGTAATTCAATAACTGCTTAGTTACCTTTGATTTGTCGGCGCGTGGTAGATATAGTGAACAATGGACAACTCTGTGGTCGCTAATTTCTTCAAGCACGTGGGTAAGAGCTTCCTGGGAATTATTAGTGAAAAGTAAATCTAAAATGTTATCGCCACGTGTAGGTTTTGTTACTAACTGGGTCATGAGGTGGACGTGTGTCAAATGTAGAAAACGCAAGCATTCGTGACGGTGGGAGCTGTTACTGCTGACAGAAGAATGATGCCCGATCTATGCCTGGGTAGTTAAGTTGGGCTTTCCAGGCAGCTGTTTTATTATTATTATTATTATTATTATTATTATTATTATTATTATTATTATTATTATTATTATTATTATTATTATTATTTGCCACCTGTGTTCTTTGTCACTTGCTGTTAAGTCATCATATCAGTGGAACTTATTGCATCTTTTACACACATTGATATTGAGAGTTGGGCCCCGTGATGACTCAGCGTATGTCTGCTCATGGTAAACAGCATTAAGTTGTCCTGATTAATCACTATATATATAGACAATTTTCTCACGGGAACCACCTCGTTGTTTAGAGGGTGGTGCTGCCTGTAATCTGGCAACCAGCTGGCTTGTGTATATGTGCAAACATTCGTCTTTGCATGGCCATGCGCCCTTCTATGTTCCCAGCACTCCGGCACGCACATGTTGAGCCATTTTCCCACAAAAGAAAAGAGGAAAAGGGGAGTTGCCGGACAGCCTTTCAAAGCTCAATGATACATTCCATAGCATGCCTCCTGATATGATTGGGCTTCTTGCATCCTCAGTAGCAATTTGATAAAAATTTAGCAGCTCCCACGTCTTGTCACAATCGGTTTTATGCAAAGCAGTCAGCGAGTAGTTGTTGACACTGCATTTTTTTTTTAAGCCAAGTGGTACAAGGTGGTCGACGTGTTTTTGTGAGTGTTAAAGTTGTGTGTACATTATGGGCTTAGCAGACATGTTGGCAACACTGGCGTTCAAAGGGTAACTTCTATAGTCTGGCATAATGTCAGCACTCACGTTAGAGCACGGACATCAGTATTAAAAGTGTGGTTCATGGTGTGATTGATGTGAATAATATATACTTAACTTCATAGTGTACCCCTATACATTTTGCTTGAAATAGCTTGCTGAATAATAGGGATACATATTAATGTATATAAGTAGAGCCAACACTAGAACTACAACCGAGATCAATTCAATATGAGACCTATATCGTAGGAGTACATATGTAGTGTTTACTCGTTCTGCCGAGAGTCACCGCATCTGAGTTTCGTCTTGGGTGAGGCCACCAACTTTACAGGGGTCTTTGGGCTCCCTTTAATATTTTTTCGGAACTGTAAAAGTTCTGTGATGTCATGTTATAAAATTATGTAATGGGCACTGAAACCGCAATTCACTTTGCACTGACATCAAGCCTGCAAATAGTCTACTTTTAAAGCAGTTTGAAGACCTGACGTGACTCTGCGGGGAAAAAATTGGAAAATGCTTGGCCTTCGCCTTCTAAAGTAGGTCGCGATAGTGTGATTGGGCCTCCTGAAGCATCGCTTTCTGAACTGCTAATCTGCTTCGGCTCTTGCTGGATACCTCAATGATGCCGTAAAGAAACAAACGAGTGTTGCCTGTAAGATAGGCCATTTCAAGGTATCAGCACTGTGGTGCCTATTTACACATCCACTACGGCATAATTATTTCAATTTGCTAATCAGCAAAGGGCCACTACGTGTCCATGGGGCAACACGCAAATCTAGCAGCTGTTCACTTTGTTGGTGGTTCTGCTTCTGGTGATGATTAAATATGTCATAGTACTTTGTAATGGGTAGGCCTTTAAAACACCCACTTGTTGTTCAGTTCGCATCGTTTGAAGCCTGGCACTATTCTACGCTTCTACCACGCAACATATGATGCTTTATAGGGGCCCTGAAACAATTTTTTCAAGTAACCATGGAATAAATTCACTGGAACAGCTTATTGTCTCACGAATTCATTGCCACAAAAATTTTAAGAATCCGTCCAGTGCGAGTGGAGCTACAAGGGTTGTCGCATGCTGCGATTGCATTCTCTCTTCTCTCGTCCCAACGAAAGCTCTGGAAACTAAGCAGGGAGAAATGGCAGAGCCACAGAAAACCGTCACGCGCACTACGCGACCTTGAGCACTTTTTTTTTCTGCGAATGCGCGACTTTTCCAGTGTGATCGCGCGTGCGGACAAGTAGCAGCCTCCCGCGGGCGATCTCTGTAACTAGCGAGTGTGCCATGCTCAAATCAGCCAATGGTTGATAGATCGGTCGTTGACATGTTATTTTTGGCATGTAACGTGATTTGTCGAGAGAATAGAAAGCAATTTTTAGCCGACTTTGATAATTTATTTTGAAATCCAGGCCGTGTGCTGTGCTATAACATTTAGCTCGAGTGTTGCCGGGAGCCTCTACTTCCGATCGGCAGCGTTTTCTGAACATGCTCAAAAAGTGTTGCAGTGCACCTTTAAGTAGCTACATGACATCGTTCTAGTGTTTTATTTTTCCAAAGCAGTTGCTGCAAATCTTGCAACTTTATTCGAACACCTGTTAGCCATGCAGGCTGCCTGGGTTCAATCATCACTCTGACCAGAAAATTTTTATTCTTTATTTTATTTGCATCTATCAATTTTTCAGTCACACAAGATGATAATTTTTGTTCACAACCAACACATCGGAGCCAGAATTTTTGCGAAACCAGCTCTTTAACGCTATTGCATTAATATCTGCCTGCCACGCAAAATACTTGGGTTTAATTTCTGCTCGGAACCTGATTTTTATTCTTCGCATTCGTCGGGTTAGTGCTGCTGATGTTTTTTGTGCCCTCGTATTTAATTTACTATTGTCTATTCTCACCGCTCCTGAGTAGATATAAATTGTCAATCACTTGTGGTGCATAACCTTGTACTGTGGTTCTTAATATATGGGTATGTGTTATACGTGCCTTGAGGAGAGGGCTTGACGATGTACGCAACAGGATTGTCACATTATTCATGTAATGACCAGACAATAGTACCCGTCAAACGCTCCTATGGCAATTTTTATGTCGCCAAGTTGTGGTGTCTCATAATGAGAGCACCACAGTTTGGAACGGACCCAGCAGACGTAGTCAAACCAAATCAAAACATTGTGTACATTTATTCAGCAACTTTTACATCAACGATATCGCCAGATGAATCAAATACGTAGCTATTGTTATGCTAAAACATTATAGACTTAATCAACATGACAAGCAGGCAACGCGAAGGACACCGATGTTCGACTTGGCATGAGGGGTCCACGGGAGATGACCCGTGGCACCACTCCCATGCACCTACCGTGGTTGAAATCTGTTTGCACTAGCCGCCTCACGCCAGAGAGAATCCCCTATCTTTTCTGCGTGGCCACCTAGCCTTGCCACTAGGCGTCACTGCTGGCACCTATGCGCTAACCGTAATAATGATCGTGGTGAACTGCGCAAGCACTGCGCCACCTATCGCTCAGTGGTTGTTAGTTAAACTAAATACGGCCTATCCACGAGACGTGTGTGTGCCATGAGGCTGAAACGACTTTACAAGGGGAGGTGGCACCCCTACAAAGTGAAAGAGGCGATCACGAGAGCACCCAGACATAGGTGATATGGATAGATGAATGGAAAGAAGCGCTAAGAAATACAAAGACTGTTATCTTGTTTTATAAAAGTGTTCAATAATCTTAATAAAACCCGCTTTGATCTTATAGTGCTTCCCATATCTCCATTTTGTCTCATGATTGAGTATCTCATTTCTCAAGGTTATTGTTAACGACTCTGATATTGCATTCACTTTTAGATTGCTGTGCCATATCTGACTTTAACACAGTGTTCCCTCTTGAATGCACCTTTCAGTTTGTGCAGTGCTTAACCTTTTTGCTGGTTTCACTTCTTGCTCTCTGAGATTAAGCTTTTACCTTACCTTTGTTCACTTATGAGATTGAATAAGCAGCTTAGTCTTGAAGCTGAAAATAAGGCAAAAAGTGGTGTTTAAAAGACATGAGGACAATTAAAGAAACACCAACCGCAAATCTTCACATAAAAGGAAGAAGTTTTGATTCGCACATGGGAGCTTGGTTCACGATGAAAATAATTTTACGACGCGATTAAGGCTTCCAAACTGGAGTTTTAACATCTTGCTTTTATGTGAACATTTGCTGTTGGTGTCTATTTTAATTGTCCTCACAGCACTAGTTCTGTCTAGAATTCAGGTGCAGCAAAAGGTTTACATCCTTGCACAGATTTTTTGTGGGCAAGAAAGATTGTGTGTGCTTGGTTCCTTGCATTTTTTTGATAGTTTTGTGTATATGCTTAACCCCTCAGTTGTTTTGGATGAGCAGTGTTCGTCCTAGCTAAGGTGTCCCTAAGCTTCTTTAGATGAGCAGACCTCATCCCACTCAAATAGGTTGTCCTCTTGAGTCTTTAGGACTAGAAGTGCTCTTCTAAGGCAGTAGATCTTGTATTGCCCATCATGTGGAAGCAATTGATGATACTGGTTTCTCTTTAGAAAATTAGACTGTTGGGTGAGTTGTTATTCTATTGTCAGGTAAACAGCATGAAAAAAACGTAAAAGAACGGCAAAAAGAACAGCAATGCGCAAAATAACCGAGTTTTTTTTTATTGAAAAGAAAAATGTGTGGTTAAACACCAGACAAACAATCTACATTTGTTCATCAAGATGATCAACCTCTGCTCGGCGTAATGCTTCAGATGGCTTGGCAATACAGTTATACCCAGCGTTTAAAATAAAATAAGCTTTAACAAGCTCCTGCATCTTATGGTGTCACCAATTGGCAGATTCGGAGCACTTCCGGTAATACTTTCTTCTGCTCGATGCCGAGCCAATCTATTCTATTGGTGGATTGAGAGTGCTCTCTGCATGTTCCATTGGCAGATCTGCGGCAGTTCTATCGTGAGATCCACTCCACGGAGCAACTTTATCTACTCTGCAAAAATCGGCAGATTCGACTGGAAGTTGCAAGCACCCCGTGCCTTGAAACAGTGCCAACTTTGGGCACGCCAACGGATGCCGGTCGCGTCAGTTGCGCCTCGCATCGGATCTCACGTTTCGCTAGCGTGTCGCCCAGCGTGCGCACTCAAACAAGAAAAGAAACGCGTGCATCGCATTCCATTCTGACCCTGCCATTTGCTCCAGAGGGAGCACATGTGTTACATTGGTAGATTTCCTTCTGTTGCCCTCCGTCAGAGGGGAGTACTCTGGCGCAGAGTTTGTGAGTCACTCCGAATTCGCCAATGAATGACGCCATTATGTTCTTTGCTTTGCGTGGCACAAAGAACTATATGTAGAACGACTTGCACCTAGCTTCAGTTCTGAACATGTGCAGTGCTCTAACATCACTTCAGTGTATGCAAGCTTCTGGCCAACTGCAATTCCTGAAGTTGACTCATGGAATATTCTTGTTCACATCTCATTAAGTGATGTGAGAGGGAGATATACATGGCTTTTTACATTTCTTGGTTGTTCTATTTCCAGTGCTTCAGACGAAAGCAAAACAATATGTGGCCAAGATGCAGAAGGGGACAACGAATTAAGAGTGAGTGCGTTATCAGGTCTTCTGCAGCTCAGATATTTAGCTTGTATACAGAGACATAGATACCTCATAGTTCTTTTTGTGTAGTGTTCTCTTTTATGTTTTAGGAGCTGTATTCCACTAGCCTCATACGGTCCTTAAACCAACCACCCAGAGGTCGTAGTGTAGTTGTGAGAAAGTATTGCACGAGTCTACAAGGAAACACATAGGTGTGAAATGCTGCAATCGCTTCTTTCGCTTTCATCTTTGCTACCCTTCACTAGTCCCCTCTCCCAAAGCCACTTTATCCTTCTCACCCAAGTGCCCCTTTCAATCTTGCGTGACACACGTCATTGCTGGCACGCAATTTGAAGCATCATTTGCTTCCTGAGGTCGCATCTCCATAGATTTCGTGCCTGCTGGCTAACCGCTGCTGCCATGCCGGCTCGTGATCCTACCAATTAGGCCAGTATGGACCCTGTGTCGAGCGCTTGCCTCCATAGAATTGCCAACATTATGGCTACGTACGGTAATGCGTCGTGCCAAAGCACCTAGATGCGAGATGAGGAGCCACTGTCTCCACAACATCATGAACAATAACAATAAGGAGTGCAGACAGCTGCTTGCAGACTAACCAGAAGTGATAAGTCCTTGCCCAGCCAATCGCTGCACGATTTGCGCTACGCATCACATATTCAACATGGCGGCATCACACGGAGAACATACGGTGGCTGGAAGGTCCTAGAGATTAAAATTTGTGGCATGACCACAGCTCATAGCACTGTCGTGTGGCATCGTTCATCATGACGACATTCTATACATGATGCGTGTATTTCAAATGTTGGAAAGAATATTGGAGGTAGTCTGGGTGCCCTTTAGGCAAACATCAACATTGCTTGCATGGCATGTAGGGCCCTCTAAAACTCCCTTTTATCTTATCTTAAGAAGGCCCCGAACTTCAATGAGGAAGACTGAGCAGCAAAGATCTTGGCTAAACTTCGTTGTAAGGAGCAACACATCAAGTTCACTGGAATGCAAAGCTGTAGCATTTTCCTTTCAAGCAGAGCAGTAGGGCAGCATCCAATGGCTGTTCCCCGACATCAGCCAGCAGGTTCTTATAAAGAGGTTCTTATAGTACTTAGTTTCCTAGCAGGATGCCTAAGTAAAGAATGCTCTTTTCAGCGCTTACTAAGTACGTCATTTGGCCATGTTTATTAGGGCAGCTGCAGTAACAGAGAACCTGACTTATAATTAATTTTGATCGTAATTGCACATTTACAGGAAAAAGCTAGTGTTAGTTGATGCATTCAGTGATGCCCACTCAGTAGAAGAAATGTGGAATGCCGTAGAAGGGACCCCGTTTCGTTGGATTCCTGTAACTGTGTTTGATGGGAAACAAAAACATAGCATTCGTAATGCTCCCATCGTACTAACTCATTCTTAAATATTGTTTTGGTACCATATTTGTCGAAAGTACCTGTTGAAAATATTTCTGAAAAAATTTTAAACATATGGCTGATTGCTGTGTCATAAAAGTAGGTATAAGAAAGGGAAAATAGGCAATCACGGGTGTTTGGCACGAAGCCCTAGGAAAACCCATACAGATTTCACAGAAAGAAAAGCTTCTTAGTTGCCAAAAAATTCGTCCTGGTCCTGGGATCTAACTCGGAACCAACGCCTCGTCGGAGCGGTCGCTCTACCGATTGAGCTAACCAGGAAGCTAGCAATTGGCAGCAGGAGGGCGAATTCATGAACAACTCGAAGCACATGGACACAAGTAATGCAAATGAGTTCTTTGGAGACGTGCAAGGTAGCAGAGGGGTTAAAAAAGGGAACCCGTAAACAATTCCCCAAAAAGGCGTTGGTCCCTGAGTTCGATCCTCGCACCAGGATGAATTTTTTGGCAAAAAGCTTTTCCTTCTGTGAATCTGTACGGATTTCCTTGTGGCTTCGTGTTACAAACAGGTGGTTGTCTATTTTTTCTTTCTCAACCCTTCTGCCACTTTGCAGGTCTCCGCAGAACTTGTTTACTTTACTGGAAATCAGTATAACATGAAAATAATATTGTGTTAGCAGAAGTACTTGAATGCTTGTACATTGATATCTGGGAGCTCGTGGAGTACATGTTCGTGTTTGGAGGATGCATTAGAAAAACCCACTCTGTTTTTGTGGTCACCCTGCAATAGCAGCCTGTTGATTATTGGGCGGGCCTCATAACCATACCATGGTTCTGACGCATAAAACTCCACAGTGTTATGCCATTTCATTTATTTATTTGTTGCTGTGCATCGGAGCTGCCCTTGTACTACAATAGTGGCTCAGGTTGTTTTCACCTCTGGGTACTGTGTGAAGTTCATGGTAGACTATGCTTTTGGTCTGCAAAGGTTGACTACAGGGTGGATGTTTCTGACCCTGCAGGGCCTTCAAATGTCAAAGCTTGAGGGTATCAAGAAGGCAATGGAAATGCTTAACTTGAACGTGCTGCATGATGGACCCGCGAAGACCCCCGAGGAAGCCATGCACAAGCGCTACCAGTTCTGGAGTACCCAGCCTGTGCCCAGAATAGGTGAGCACCATGGCCCTGTCACGAGTGGTCTTTGTAGCAATCAGCCAGCTTCTCCTGCTATGCCGTTTATGCATTTTGTTGCCACATTCCCTGCAGCCAGTGGAGCTCTGCTACAGTCTGCAATGAGCCTCACAAGTATTAACTTTTTTAAAGGGGCCCTGCAACACTTCTTCAATGAATCATCCAATGGCTTTACTAAAAGTGTTTATTGCCTAATTATTCGGCTGCCACAAAAATTTGTACAATCTGTCAAATAAGAGTGGAGCTACAAAGGTTTGTCACACACTGTAACTGCTTTCTCTCCTCTTGTCCCGGCGAACACACTGGAAGCTAAGCATGGAGGAAAGAAGTTATGTCATGTGCACTTAATCACCTTGACCACATAGCTTAATTTTCTTTGTGTAAGCATTAAGATTCTGGGGAAATATTACAACGCTGTGTGGGTACAGGCAAGTAAACACTTCAGCAACAGGTTTAGAGTGATTTGTGATTGGTTCTCATTTGTGTGAAGCACGTGTTTAGCAATGCATTATGTGCATTAGCAGTGACAAACATTGATAGATGGTGTCCGACTTTTTTTTTTGTCTCGCTCATGAAGTCTAATCTTGTGGTCAGAGTTGCTTTCTTGCTTATGTCAGGGCTAATTAATGCAGCCAGGCTTTCCATTTTCTGTAGTGTCTCCTTCTTATCTATGTTAATATGAATGATACTGTAGCAGTGGATAAGACAGTTTAGTCAGACCTATTCATACTGCACTGCACAACTTCATTTAGAGCAACAGTAGGGTCTCATTTGCAATCAATAGCTAAACTGCACAGAACGAAAGCATCAGCTTCAGAACAGCTCTTTAATTTGGACAGGCGTTTGATGGTGTTGCACACCATCACTCCTGCAGCCCCTGTCTCGTACCTGTGTCGTAATACGAAGCACAAGAAGAAATCATGGATAATCACCAAATAGTCAAATTCAGTGCCCTGCTAAAATTCTTTGATTAGCTGCTCTTGGAATACAATTAGCTAGCAGAGCCAATCTGACAGTGTGGTTGGTAAGTTGGCCTTGTATAGTTATTCACATTATACATTTTTATTTCAGTCTGCCAGAACATATAACCATTCAAACTGTGCAAAATGTAGGCAAAGCACTGACGCAAGAGCAGTGACCCCACCCAATTTGCTCACTCAAGGCTAACTGCAGTACTCACGGAAGTATAACGTGACATCAGTTTTTTTTAGTATAGTGACTGGTATGCGCAATTTCTCTAGATATCCTTGCCAACCCGGAACGAATCTGGTCCGTAAAGGTAATGTTTACTATAATCTACATGTTTAAAGTGAAAGGATGCCGTTATACCCCGAAGTGAGGAGACTGTAGAAATGAAAGTGGTATGTGTGCTCCTTAGCCCTAAATTTTCTTATTTCAATTCGTGAGTTGTGCATGCATTGTCAGCCACTAGCATTTGTGGAAGAAATCTTAATTTTGTGCAAAGCCACAGCTCATAGCCTCAAGTGTAATGTTCCAGTCTGTAGTGTTATTTGAAACTTGCACGGTGATAGATTAAACGCAAGATAAAGGTCTTAAAGAGAGCAAAAGTTTTAGTTTTGTCAACTCTGTCTTAAAATCTATTACAGCTTCACTCTATGCCCTTTTGCAAAGAGGTAAAAGTCAGCTGGCCATTACTGACAATGACCAATAGACCATTATTTATTTAGTAGGTTAAATAGTACTTGTAGTAACTGAATATGCTGATTATTGGATACACTGTTGTATGGCTGATTTCAGTAAATGGGAATTGGCACTTGTTATGCTTATAGCATATTTGAACACCCAATAAACTGGCACTGCAGACTTCTAGCAAAATATTGATAGGGAGGGGAGGTCGGGGGTGGACATTTTGCATTATATTAAACTTTCCAGCCATTCAGAGAAACATATGAAGCATGAAGTATGCTTTTATTTCCGATTAAACGCAAACTTTGGCGATTTCTTGAGGTCACTAGATTTCAATGAAATTTGCTGGGTATGTTCACTTGCACATTTTCATCATTCGTCCCCAATTACAGGCTGAAGAGATACACAGATTTCTTACGAAGTTTATTTACTTATTTATTTTCAATACTGTCGACCCCAGTGCTGGAGTCATTACAGACGGCATATTGCAGATGGTATTCATTCATACAGAGCATAGAGTAACATTCTAAGTAACATACGAATTCAATTACGCTATTGATAAATAACAACAAAATACAAGGAACAATGAATTCTCCACACAGTGAAAAACAAGGAAACATTCACACCAAAATTTGTTACACTCTGTTAGAAAATATGTATATATGTAGCCATCTGCAATATCGGCAAACCATCATTACCGATAATTGCATCAGACAAACTATTCCGCTTTTTATTTTTGTTAGGGAAAAAACAACAAAAAAATACTGAAACGAGGGGCATCACTTTCAAAAGCTCCAAATTTTTCTGTATGCATGTTATCAGAAGAGCAAGACAAATGACAGTGACTGGATTAATAATATGTGCAGATTTCTAGCAGCAAACTTAGGAACTGCTGGTTTGCACATATCATGCCAGACATTTGAGCAATGCATTTAATTATCAAAAAGAAAGGGAGAGAGAGATAGTGAAATAAGAAAAAATTATCCTCGTTTTACCAAACGAAGGCGAAAAGGTAGGCCTGATCAAGTACTGCGTGTCCCGCTACAACGTACTGTGCTAAAAGGAAAGAGGAAAATCACAAACGTATGTGAAGCATAGATGCACTACAGTATGTTTCGCATGGTTTCTAACATTGCGCTGAATGCAGATAGAGTGTCGGCATTAGTAACGCTTTCATTCAATTTATTCTATTTGCGTATTGTTAGTGCGAAAAAACGAGTCCCCAAAAATGTCGCTATTTGAGGAATATTCTTGCAGACTATACTTGTGCTTATAACGAGTAGGGCAGGACTGGGAAAGTGTGACGTACTTAACATCTACCTTGTAGTGGCCATGTAGCAACTGGTACAGGAACCTCAGGCGTGCCTCTTTTGCCCTAGTAGTTAGTTTATCAATGCCAGAAGAAGCGAGAAGGTTAGTGAGAGAATCTGTACGTTTGAACTTGTTGTATAGAAACCGTATGGCTTTGCGTTGCACTGCCTATAATTTGCCAATACTTTTTAGTGAATAAGGAAACCAAACTACTGCTGGCATATTCTAATACTACCAGTCTTATGAACATGGTTTAAGCCAAGAGTTTTGCGGGTGCTGGTGCAATTCACAGTCGTCTTTTTAGGTAGAAAAAGTTTACGAAGTGCGGCCGCAGTGACATTAGTTATGTGTGTGTCCCATCTCAGGTCAGATGTTAATGTAATGCCTAAGTACTTATGCTGCACAACATTAATCAGTGTTGAACCATGAATGGTGTAAATGAATTATGATGGATTCTGTTTGTGTTACCGTCATAGCTGCAGATTTTTTAACATTAAAGGAGCACTGACATCAACTTTACTCATGCCAAGATTTTTGCGTCAGTGAGTAGCTATAGACTCTGTAGCAGCGATTCGCGACCTAAAACACAACTGAGGGATGAATAACTATCACTTTTATTGATTTATATTGCCGCGACAGGTTGGCCACGTTCAAGTAGCCTGCCGCAATCATCGTGGCAAGAGCACAAGCAAGACCCGGCTAGCATGCGCCACGCGTTTGTGCGCTCCGACAACGAGGAAGAGGAAGATAGTGTAGCGATGCTGACGCCGACAGGTTAAAAAAACAAGCGTCTTTATTAGGGCGAACTTGTGCCCACGATTCTAAAAACTATGGTCGTCAAGTTCGAGTAGCCGAGTGGCATAGATCCGACTATCTTCCTCTTCCTCGTTGTTGGAACGTACGAACACGTGGCGCATGCCAGCCGAGCCGGTTCTTGCTGGTGCTGATGCCACGATGATTGTGGCGGGCTACTTGAATGTGGCGAACCTGTCGCAGCATTGCCCCCCTCCTCAGACGCATCGTCCCGATGCTTAAGACAGTGAAAAGATACACGCGCACTCTCACTCGTTTTTCGACGATCTGTCATGATAGGGCTTCATGCGGACTACGTGGACCACTTCCGTGGGATTTCGGCGTCTTGAACTCACGTGTCCAGCAGATCTAACTTCATAAGTGACGTTGCTGATACGGTTGAGTACTTCATAAGGGCCGAAGTATCGGCAAAGAAGCTTTTCAGAGAGTCCGCGGCGGCGCACTGGTATCCATATCCACACTTTGTCACCGGGATGATAAAGTGTGTCACTGCGTCGCTTGTTGTAGCGACTAGAATCGACGTGCTGTTGGTGGCGTATTCGGTATCTTGCCATTTGCCGTGCTTCTTCGGCTCTTTGCAAGAAGTCATCTAAGTCAGGTGGATAGCTGCTTTCGTCCTGTAGTGGCAACATGGCATCCAGCGGGGTGGTCACTCTTCAGCCGAATACTAGTTCGAAAGGGGCAACGTGGGTTGTTTCTTGAACGGCTGTATTATATGCGAATGTTACGTAGGGTAATATTTCATCCCACTGTTTATGTTCAACATCAACATACATTGATAGCATGTCGGTCAGAGTTCTGTTGAGGCGTTCGGTTAAGCCATTTGACTGAGGGTGATACGCCGTTGTTCTTCTGTGATCGGTATTTGTCATGCGCATCAGGCATTGCATTAGGTCTGCAGTAAATGCGGTGCCCCGATCCGTAATAACGACGATGGGCGCACCATGTCTGAGCACTATGTTTTTCACAAAGAACTTGGCGACTTCGGCAGCTGTCGCACTGTATAGAGAGTCAGTTTCAGCATAACGGGTGAGATAGTCTGTGGCTACGACTATCCATTTCTTGCCTGCACACGATGTCGGCAAAGGTCCTAGGAAGTCCATGCCGACTTGTTGGAATGGGGCATCTGGAGGGTCTATTGGCTGGAGAAGGCCGGCTGGTTTTACGGGTGGAGTTTTGCGCCGTTGACATTGACGACAAGTTTTCAC